CTATGTAGTGTTCTACATAGGCAAGTAAAATTCTTTAATGACATACAGGAGTATGCTGTTATGGTAAGTATATTTTAAAGACCTATGTAGTGTTCTACATAGGCAAGTAAAATTCCTTAATGGTTTTACTTGCCTATGTAGAACACTACATAGGTCTTTAAAATATACTTACCATAACAGCATACTCCTGTATGTTCCTTAATGGCCTACAGGAGTATTCTCTCATAGTAAGTATAACATTTTAAACACCTATGCAGTGTTCGTTGTGGGCAAATAAAACCTTTAAAAATTATAATTGTGTTCCTCTTAGTAATTTAAATACTTTAATGACCTGTAGCAGTATTCCACTTGAGAAAGTAAAATAATATAAATTTGATATGTTAGACCATTTGAAATCTTCTATTGTGATGAACGTTTTTAGATTTACCTGCTGTTTTAAAACGTTTTAGAATTGTTTCTTACCATATTATAGATCAAAGTGTACTATCACCCGAAAATTACATTTGTTTATCCTGTTTTTTAATATTGAATAACTTAAATTTGAGATTTTACATCTATCTTATTAAAGTAATATTTTCTATATTACATTTGTTAGTCATATTTAAAGTAATCATTAAAAGTAAATTGTATATTTGATACTTGTTCAATACTGAAATTTAGTTATTTTTATTTTCTCTGTTGAATAAAAATATAATAGTTTGTTGAATGTAAATTTGTAAAGTTACAAGAACAATGAAATCATTTTTATGTTCAAGAAACTTTTAAAAATACTGTAGTTTATCTTAATTACACTATAAGACAGTAATTAATGAATTACTAGGAAATAAAATATATAATATTGAACTGTTTTATAAATTTATTATTAACTTGCATGGAAAATATTCACATCACTTTCTAAGCTTGTTAACTCAGTTGTACAAATTCATGATACATGCTGGTCTAGAAATTTTTATGTACCTGTTTTACAATTTTGTAGTGTTCTGACTTTTTTTATAATGAAATAATGTAAAATAAGCAATTTGGGTAAAATTATGAAAATAGTTATTTGCATTTTTATTCCTTTTATGAATGAGCGTTATACATTATAATTTGCTTTTATTTGTTTCTTGTTTTTTTAATTGAATGCTGATGAAACTGCTGGATTTAGAATTCTTTGTCTTAACTTGCATGACCAGCTAAACACCCTATGTATTTTTTAGAGGAATATCTAACCAAAGAGTGGACATATCCTATAGAACTTTATGGGATTGGCAAATATGGCAATGACTCGTACCGAATATTTTGTGTTAAAGAATGGAAAAAAGTAGGTAGATCATTACACATTTACATTTGTAGAAAACCTTCTACAGAAATATTGTCATAAGCTTAGATATATTTTGTAAAAATGACCTCTTTTATTGAAGTTAAATCTTAAAATGTTTCTTACTTAATTTCACCTTCTAAGTTATTTGTAATTTTTTGCATTATTTTACAGTTAAAATTAGTAGAGGAAAAGTAACTAACAAAATACTTTTCTGTCAGCAGATTCTTACCAGTCTTTTAGTACTTTGCATATATGATCATAAAAGTACACAAAAGGTGTCCCATTTTCCAAAAACAATAGTACTAAAAGGCTAAAACAGTATTTTATTTTGATAACAGATTTCTGTAAAAAGTTTCAAGAAGAAAATTATCTTGTTTATTTTGTTCTCTGTAACACTTTCAACAGCATGTACATGTAATCATTTTTCATACACTGTTACAGTTGCATCTAAAAATATTCATGGCATACATGTGTTAATGTGTAAACAAATAGATTTGCATAAAATTCAAGTTCTAATTAATCACTTTTTTTTGCCAAATTATTTTCTGTTGATAAAAACTTCACCTAGGCTTTTCCTTGCTACAAAAGTATATATTTAATGTTGGATTTATTAAATAAAACAAAATTACTTGTATTAGTTATTTATTATCTATATGAATATCTGGTCAAAATTGGTTTTATAATATTACTAACACAGTTTAATTACTGACTCATTGTAATGCACCTTTTATTTACTAACAGTTTTGAAAAACGTTTCTTTGTTTCAAACATCTTTCTAAAGCGTTTTTAATAGTGATTTAGAAAAGAAAACAATAGACTATTTAAGTTTTCATGTACATTATTTCATAAATAACAAACTTATTTTTAATTATGTAATCATATTAATAAAGGATGAACTCTTTAATATGTCGACTTTATATATATGAATCGTAAGTAGAAATTTTTCATTTTTCATAGGTGAAGCCAACAGATCACATGTTAAATAAGTACCAAGAATGGCTATGGAAGAATCACAACATAATTGGACTGCCTTGAAAATCTATAAATATCTTAGTATTGTTTCAGTAGCTTTTTATTGTATTTGATACACTTCGTGGATACTTTATTTGATGGTTGTATAAAAATGTTAATGTAAATTTACAGCCTATAATGTTATACTGAAGAAAAGATATATTACTGAATATGTCTGTGAAATACAGATGTTGAAGTTGCCTGCACTGTAAAGGTATGCCTTAAATAATTTATTTTTTGACTTGTGAGTTGTATGGTTTTTGTCTAGTGAGAGCCTTATTTTAGTTATCTTTAGATAGTAAATGTTTAGTATACATTGTTAAAGAAAATAAGTTTTATCAATAAAGGCCTGCAAATATTATGATACTGTTATCTGAAAACATTTTTCAATTTGAATTTAAAAATTGCAAAAAGTTTCTTTATAAGAAATAATTACTATTTTATTTCATAAGTGCACAAAAATGAATATTTTGGCCAGCAGATATAGTAACATCCCTGAAAACTTATCCATTACATCTCATGTTTTGTAGTATTAATCTTGACCAGCAGATATAGTAACATCCCTGAAAACTTATCCATTACATCTCATGTTTTGTGGTATTAATCTTGACCAGCAGATATAGTAACATCCCTGAAAACTACATCTCATGTTTTGTAGTATTAATCTTGGCCAGCAGATATAGTAACATCCCTGAAAACTACATCTCATGTTTTGTAGTATTAATCTTGGCCAGCAGGTATAGTAACATCCCTGGAAACTACATCTCATGTTTTGTAGTATTAATCTTGGCCAGCAGATATAGTAACATCCCTGAAAACTACATCTCATGTTTTGTAGTATTAATCTTGGCCAGCAGGTATAGTAACATCCCTGAAAACTTATCCATTACATCTCATGTTTTGTGGTATTAATCTTGGCCAGCAGATATAGTAACATCCCTGAAAACTACATCTCATGTTTTGTAGTATTAATCTTGGCCAGCAGATATAGTAACATCCCTGAAAACTACATCTCATGTTTTGTAGTATTAATCTTGGCCAGCAGATATAGTAACATCCCTGAAAACTTATCCATTACATATCATGTTTTGTGGTATTAATCTTTTCAAATACCCAAGGGTGTTAATCTCACAAAATGGGATATCTTTATAGCATGGAGTAAAATAATGAGTAGTTTAATTTTTTAATGGTTTTTTATAACATCAGAAATTATTTCAATATGATATTTTTGGAAAGCACATGGAAGAAACGTGACATTGTTTAAATCATTTTAGGTGTGAGTTTGAGAAATTTATCAGGAAGGCAGTAGCATTGCCTATGTAGGGATGGCTCAGATTGTTCATCAAAATAGTATTTTAAATATCTCCTCAATAGGTCATCAGAACTTTACAATACTATACAGTGTTTCCTTTTATAATAATATCTATGTAATGACTGAGTCACAAGTTTTAGGAATGTCTGTAAATATCATAGCAAAAAGTTAGCATTTCTTGTTCTTCTTTCTTCTGCTTCTTTTTTATTACATTATAACTCAAAAACCTAAACAATGGTGTCAACCTATTTCACTGAGGTGACATAGTTTCAAATGGAGTATCTGCTTTTATAAGTATTATTAATAACTAGTAGTAATTTAAAAAATATTAACACCATGGAATTTAGATTAACAGTTTCTTGTCATCACCCGCATGCACTTGGTACAGTTGTTTCAAGCATCATTATTTACGCTAATTGCTTAAACTAATATCATGTGATGCTAAACGATCTATAATAACTGTCCATCAGTATGATTCTTTTGAAAACTTGAGCTAGAAACTACTAATCAAGTTTGTTTGGCCTAACCAATACTTATGTATCTGCACATTCTTTCACCCTGTGGTCTGACGTCTAATCCAAATGGCAAAATACTAAAAGTGGTCCACTTTTACTCTTAGGTGAAGCTGTAGTAAATATTTTAGACCGATAGGTCACGTGACTTTTTACGTAGGCTTGCACAAACATTTTGTTCAAATTTGAGCGGTTTTTGTTGAATAACTTTGCATATATCGCTTATATTTAGACCAAATTTGATACCTAATTATAGGTTATAAAGATCTATCAGTGTACCAAATTTGAAAAAAAATCTATAAAAGTTAAGCATGTTTTTCTATCAAATTTTCGGTACTTTCTGTGCAAAGAAAACAAAACGGAAGAACTTCAAACATATCTTGTGTATTTCACTGAAAATATGTAATAGTTTGGATTATCAAAGTCTGAGTTACAGAAAGTAGAAAATTGCTAAACTATCACTTTGTTGATTATATACAGTGCGTCCTGCAGGTTGTTTTGGTTGCAAGACACACTACCGTGTGATTTGAATTTCGCTCAAAGCTGCACAAGGGCTATCTGCACTGGCCGTCCCTAATTTAGAAGTGAAAGACTAGAGGGAAGACAACTAGTCAGCATCACCCACCAAAAACTCTTGGGCTACTGTTTTACCAACGAATAGTGGGATTGACCGTCACTTATTATAACGCCCCCACAGCTGAAAGGGCGAGCATTTCTGGTGGGACAGGGATTCGAACCCGCGACCTTCAGATTGCGAGTCAAGCGCCCAAACTATCAGGCAATGTCGGGCCACTACTGTGTGTTTTGATATCAAAATACAATGGAACATAGTTTCGAAATTATCCATATGCACAAATCAAATTGCTCTAATACATAGAATTATGTTACTTTGAAGGTTTATCAGGATCTTGTATGTAAAAATCACCAAGCCCAACCCAAAAAATTAAAGCATTTAGTAGGATAATAAGCAGAAATTTCAATCAAGTATATTATGAAAACTTATATTTTCAACGTCGACTATTGATCAACCCAGCGAATTTCCTCTGAAAGTGAAACACTCCTGCGTCAGTTTCAGATTGTTAAATCACAAGTATATTGTTAGGACAGCGGAAGTCACGTGACCCTAGTAACACGTCATGAGCTTCTAGAAAATTCACGTCCCTTCCTGAAGCCTCGAGTGTTTACTAGATGTACGGTATTCTTGTATATAAGACCGGTAAAAAATGATGGCAACAAGGGAATTGAATTGCAGACGAAGATAGAGACGGACAATTGAGTCAAGCTCGTGAATCGTTCG